CCTTCCTGACACAACCACAGACCACCGAGCTACCACAGCCCTCTGTGCGGAGCAGAGAGCTGACATCTAGGGTGCCCGGGGGAGCAGATGGTGGGGGTTAAGGGGCTTGCTCAAAGGGCCAGGGTGGGGAAAATGAGGGTGGAGGCAGGTGTGGGTGCTTCACCTTTCTCACCTTTGATGTTGACCTTTTGATGTTGCCGGTCCAGGGAGTTGAACCGGCGACCTTCCGATCCCTCTGCGCCACCACTCCCCCATATTGTGCAGTGTGTGTGTTTAAAAAAATAAGGACATTGCAATGAGACTACAAGAAGTGTCAGACCTGAAATGTTAATAATAATATGATTATAAATAATTATAAAATAATATTAACAATAATTATTTTTTACTTTATAATTATTATATAATTATTAAAATTAAAATAATTGTTACATTCTCTGTTATTTTTATATTCTGTTTTTTTATTATTATTATTATTTTTATATTCTCTGTTGGGCAGCACAGTGGCGCAACTGGAAGAGCTGCTGCCTCTCAGCGAGAAGGTTGCCGGTTCAGATCCCGGTGGTCCGGTGGCCTTTCTGGGTGGAGTTTGCATGTTCTCTCCGTGCATGTGTGGGTTTTCTCCGGGTGCTCCGGTTTCCTCCACCGACCAAAAACATGCATGTTAAACTGATTGGTAACTAAATTGTCCCTAGGTGTGAGTGAGAGAGTGAATGGTTGTTTGTCTCGTTTGTCTCTATGTGTCCCCGTGATGGACTGGAGACCTGTCCAGGGTGTCTCCCTGCCCCTCACACATTGAATGCTGGACATGGGCACTGGTGACCCCCGTGACCCAAAATGGAAGAAGTGGGTAAAAGATAATGGATGGATGTTATCTGTTATTTTTATCATGTGTTTTCCTTTGTTCTGAAACTCTGGCACAAGAATTTACTGCGGGATCAATAAAGTTATATCTTATCTTATCTTTTTTTATCTTATCTTAATAATATTAATAATAATAACGATAATAATACTAATACAGCAGAGGAAGAGTATTAGGAAAGTCATCTCTTCAACCCAGTAGTTCAGATGTTGTGAATCATTCATTGAAGTTATTACTGGTATTCAGTGTCTTACTTCCAGTAGAAATGGCTCCATTTTTTCATCTTTGATCCGTTTAGAAATTCAGCGGAGACAAGCTAATACCTAGTCTGAGTGGGACCAGTTCCAAACCAGATTGTTGCTGTTTTAAGATAATCCCAGTCTGTACAGTTTAATTTAAGGTTCATGTAAACGCCTGTCTCATTTGCATTGGATTATTTTAACATAGAAGTTACTGACACTGAAGTCAGTCTGCAGAGGTTAGTGTGCTGAGCAGCTGAGTGCATCTTATTGTTTGAAAACCATCGTCTTTTTTTTATATAGTTTAAATGAACATTGCGATTTACTCTTTAAATAACTTTAATCAGTTGAATGCCATCTGGTAAGAAGCTGCTGAATTCATTAACAGTCTGTAGACGGAGTCTGGAAAACAAACGGGGGGTTTCACTTCAGCTAGTCGAGGTAGTTTCACCTCATTATGTGAGATTGCATCAAATGCGTGTGTTATCTCGTCCTATTGAGTAAACGGTTTTATTTCTTACGTAAAGAGAGAGGAATCAGTTCACAGTGAGGCAGCTACTTTTCCAGTTTGGGCTTTATGATACAGCGAAGAAACGCCCACCTCACTTCAGTGGTATTCATTCACTTCAAGACAAAAGCAAGAGTCAGTAATTATAAAGGCCGGTGAGTGCAAAGGGAACAAACAGTTTCAGTGAAACACACCTTTTACCAGATTTGAATTCTTGTTAATGATGAGCTCTGAGCGGTGCCTTTTTCTTTTTTTTTTTTTGGGTGGGGGGGGGGGGGGGTTACGGCTGTGAATTCAAAAAGGCAAAGAATTTTAATAACACGTTATTGAGACGCCACAAGAAATGTTTGTGTTGGACATCCAGAAATGTTTGTGGGATCTCTCACTCCCTGCATGCCCTGCATGCTGCTCGAGAGAGAAAGATTGTTTTTTCAGGACGTTCACCAGAGGGCTGGGCCTTGGTGAGGCGAGCAGGCTGCCAGCTCTGCTTTCCAAATGACAAAGACAAAGAAAGGAGGGAGAGAGAAAAAGGGGCAGAGTCACAGTTTGGGAAGGCCCTTTTCTAACCCTGCTTCTCTGTACATTTATAGGTTCTCCACAAACACACCCACATGTGGTCACACACACACACACACAGGCCAGCACAAAGTCAGGATGTGACATCATCCACAGGAAGAGAAGCCAAACACTTTTTGTTCATCCTCTGTTTTTGAGCCGACTATGCCGCTGAGAGAAGTTGGAGCTCCTGGGACAGTCGATGACCAGCAGAGAGAGAACATGCAGAAGAGCTGGAGTGGCAGAAGAGCTCGAGCTGGCGTCCACACGGGAGTTTAATCCTCCCTGAACTCCCACCAACTTTCCACAGCATTCCTAACGGCCGGCTGTATTTCAGTGAGGTACATAGGAAGTTTAGTTTTTTCCGTTCTGTGATTTCTTCCTTTGTGCTTTGTTGTCACTGAGCACTGAATGTATGAGCAGCTGCATTATTTCTCATTTAAACAAGAACTTGTGTTTGTGCTAATTCTGTGAAGACCAGCAGAACAAGCATGAAGGGACTGTTACTCATGTGCATGATCAGACATGCTTTGGCCTGAGGCTGTTGAGACATGCAGGGAAGTCACACTTCAACTCATTCTGTCCTGCGTGTCGTGACTTTTTGCCCAAGTCACTGTCATCTTTAAACGGTGCTTTGTGTTTGGCTGGAGACGTGTCTTTGACTTGTCAAGTGAAACTCTACGACTTCGCCCCCCTGCGAGGTTTGTTTTTATATAACACTTTCATCTCATGACCCTCATTCGTCCCTAATGGGTCAAATCAAGCCCAGATTTCCAGCTGGTTTAATCTCACAGAACAAAATCAACACGAGCACAAACTTAAGCCTGTCTGAAGAGTGAACTCCCAACTCAAACCAGCATCAGTGTCTGGTCTATGATGTGCACACAAATGATTCTAAAGCTGATGAAACTTCTTCTTGTTCAAGGCACGCTAACTTAAAAAAACAACAAAAAAAAGGCAGCAACAGGAAATGGTAAGAGCTGCCATTCAGAAAGGGACTCGGGACACAAATGCGGATGTAGTATCATGTTGCAACAACAGTCCTGAATGTGTCTGCTGAACTGAAAGTGTTCATCTTTACAGTGCAGGTCCTGGAATGAGTAAAACATTGAGTGTATTTGTTCTTATCTCAGCGTTAAAACATTCAGAGCTATGTTCAGTCTTGTTTAATATACCAAACCCAAAGCAGTCTGTTTTTCATCAGCTGTCATGCTCACTTTGTGTACACAGTTTTCCTGCTGCATCTGAACGATGAGATCATTTCGCCGAGGACGCTTCTCCGTGCTCTCAAGAGCGAGTCAATCTGTACTGAGTCACACCGCGGCATTTATTTTTACTATTAAGCTTGAAACTCCTGCGGCTTGACGTCTGCTCCAGCAAAAACTGTTGCCGTTTCTCTATACAGATGAAAACAAGAGTCTACTGGTAATGTTGGTCCAGCAGCTCAAACGAAGCCGTAACGGCACATCTTTGTGTTTCATGCTAATCCTACATTTTGTAGTGCACACAGAGATGTTTGGGGGGAATGATTGGAACAGGACTGAGCACTTTCAACTGATGGACAGTAAAGTATATTGCACCATATTGTGTCATACTGTATGTTATCATACCATCCATTTGGCTTGGGACCCTCTGTTTTAGCTAATCATGTGGATTACTGCAATCAACAGTCACATGATCAGATCATTCACCCACCTAACATACTGACAGCCCTGTTTACATGATCCTATGAGTATAGTGGTACTAAAAGTAACAAAAGAAGAAGAAGAAAAAATCCACCAGTATGCAATGTATTTTACAGCAAAAGTTCCATCTGGTTTATGGTCTTTGGTTCTGAAGAACTGCAACATAATGTTCAAAATAATTGTATAGCGCAAGATCAACAACGAACAACGGATAAAATAACTTGCATGCATAAAAATAAATTAAATTGCCCAAAAACAGACAAAAGAAAATAAAAAATATCAAGGAACTACTTAAATAATGTAAATGAACAATGCAACCACGTAAAATGGTTTAAATAAAGAAGTTTAAAGTTGAATAATTAGTTCTTAAAACTATGTAAATGTATGCAACAAGTTACAAAAGACGAACTTAAAATATTAAATAGAATCATATAGAAATCATTACTAAAAAAACAAAAACTATTGCACTTAGGGGGGCCCCTAGTGGCCCCGGGGCCCCATTAGTTTGCTTATGGCTGGGGTCGGCCCTGCATCCATCCATCTATTATACTTTTTGGGTCGTAGGGGTCACTGGTGCCCATATTCAGCAGTCATTGTGCGATATACCATATTGTATAATATTAGAAAGTATTGTATCACGGTGTAATGCATGACTATTCAACTGGTGGCCTGGGGGCTAAATCAGACCCACAGCTGAGCTCAGTTCGGCCCACCAGTGGGTACATTTTTAAATTAATAGATTTAAAACTGTAAAACAAACTTACTTAATGACAATAACTGCTGGATGTCTGGCCCCTGAGCTCCAGGCTTTCAGTAACTGTGGCCCCTGAGCAGTTTAGTTGAATAGTCCTGGTTATTCTGGTCAGAATCAGAGATTCTCTGGTTGTTCTGGTTATTCTGGTCAGCCATCAGTGAAAACAGTACATTGACAGGACAAAGAAAAGTCTGACACACGTCTTGTTTGTCTTTACAGAAGCCTCCCACTAACTGGAAACAAGGACTCCATGAAATCTTTACGTGAGAGACACTGACCTTTTGTGACCTGATTTCAACCGGCCCGATCCCCCTCTTTCAACAAGGTTTTTCAAACTCAAACCCGAGAATTACTCTGGAGAGCCTATTCTCCCCTTATCACAGGGGAAGCGACTGAGTCAATGGCGCTGTGTCTCGGGCAAGTGTTCAGCAAAGCCAGAACATTCAGGCCGAAGAGGCGGTTTGAGCCCGGCACACAACGCTTCGAGCTTTACAAGAAGGCTCAAGCTTCGCTCAAGTCGGGCTTGGACCTTAGGAAAGTGGTTCAGTTGCCAGAGGGAGAGAACCTCAATGACTGGATTGCAGTTCACGTGGTGGATTTCTTTAACAGGATCAACTTGATCTATGGCACAGTTAGCGAGTACTGCACCGAGCGCACGTGTCCCATTATGTCTGGAGGACAGAGGTACGAGTACAGGTGGCAGGACGGCGAGGACTACAAGAAGCCCACCAAGCTGCCTGCTCTCAAGTACATGACTCTGCTGATGGACTGGATAGAGTCTCTTATCAACGACGAGGACATCTTCCCCACCAGAGTAGGTGTGTAAAGGGTCAATGATTTGAGTCTACAGTGATTAGGTTCAGCTCTCAGGTTAATTAGACAACAATGCTGACATTTAGAAGAGCATAGTTAATAGTGGCTTTATTTTTGCCCCTGACGTATACGACTTTTTATTGGAGATGAGGATTTATTTCATGAAGTGTGAGTAACTGAGAAGTTTGCACTCCGACCAAAACAGTCCTCAGTTTAGGCCCTGGTTATACAGATTTAGTTGTTTTGTGTGTAAATGCTTAAGAAGCAATCTCACTATTGTGATCCATTTTTCTTCTGTACGTTTTTCAGCATCTTTCTCTTTCCACAATTTTTGTGCTATGTCAACAAATCATAACTCAAAACGTTCAGCTCTTTCAGGACAATCCTGATGTGACTTTTGGTGTTGGTACAACTTTAGCTTTTTGAAATATTTAGCCTTTTCTGCCACTTTTTTCTTCATAGAAAATGAATTAAACTCATTTTACATGCTTCATATTTTTACATCTGTTTACAGCATTTTACTGCTCCTTTCACATTTTGTTCTGGTTCAACTTCTTTCAGCTTCTTTGTGCAAATTTAGCCTTTTTTCAGCTACTTTCAAGTAATTTCGGCTGTTTAGTGCTCCTTTCAGATTTGTTCTACTAACTGCAACATTTTTGTGATTATTCTAACTTCTTTCTGCTAATTTCATCTTATTATGCTCCTTTCAGCTTATTTCTGCAAGTTTCAGCTTTTTCTGCTATTTCTGCTGTTTTATGCTAATTTAAGCTTTTTCAGCTAATTCCACTCTTTTTTTTGCGCTCATTTCGACTTTTGTTAGCCTAACTAAGCAAAAATATACTCTCTCTGTACTTTTTTCTTGTAATTTCAGCTTATTTCTGCTTTTTTAGCTACTTTTCAGCAGTTTTTGTGCTAATTTCTGCTTCTTTCAGCCTAAATGGGCAAACGTGTTTCTTTCATGTGTACTTTTTAATGCTAATTTAAGCTTGTTCTACCTTTTAGCTAATTTGAACTGTTTTCAAATAAATTCAAGTTTTACTTTGTATTTTTTTTGTTTCTTTCAGCCCAGTTAACTTATTTATGCTAATTTCAGCTTGTTATGTTCCTTGCAATTTTTTCTGCTCTATCAGATATTATTTACACATCCATTCATCCATTATCTTTTAGCCGCTTCTTCCATTTTTGGTTCACAGGGGTCACTGGTGCCCATGTCCAGCAACCGCTGTGCGAGGGGCGGGGTACACCCTGGACAGGTTGCAAGTCCATGGCAGGGACACACAGAGACAAACGAGACCAACAACCATTCACTCTCTCACTCACACCTAGGGACAATTTAGAGTTACCAATCAGCCTAACATGCATGTTTTTGGTCTGTGGGAGGAAACCGGAGTCGCCGGAGAAAACCCACGTATGCACAAAGAGAACATGCGAACTCCACCCAGAAAGGCCACCGGACCGGGATTTGAACCAGGGACTTGCTCGCTGAGAGTTGTGCCACTGTGCTGCCCGTGCTCATTTCTATTCAAACCTAATTCAGCAAATATGTGTTCTTTCTGTTTTCTTATGCTAATTTAGTGTTATTCTTCCATTTCAGCTACATTTCAGCATGTTTTTAGCTACAATCAGCAGTTTTTCAGCAAGTTCTTCTGTGACAAGCTCACGCTGCTTTTTCACAGGAAATGCATTTTCTCTAGTTTGTTGTTGACGTTTACTTTTTTATTGTAGAGTTTATTAATCAGGAGAGACAATAGCTTGGTTCTGTTTATAAATCCATCTTTGGTCATTTGTTGAAGACTTTTCTCAACCTCCATGCGCCTGAGCAATAATTAAACCCATACCAGAATACAAAGACTGTTACAACACCATTGGCACTGAAACTGAGCTGGTTTCAGTTCTTAGAAACAAAGCAGAGTTTAAGAACAGGATTATCAGAGATCTGACACATTTTCCAGGGAAAAATAACTTCTTTCTGTCTTTTTCTTTTTTTTTTTTTTTTTTTGCTTCAGGTGTACCTTTCCCCAAGAACTTCCAGCAGGTGTGCAAAAAGATCCTGAGCCGTCTCTTTCGGGTGTTTGTTCATGTTTACATCCACCACTTTGACAGCGTCTGCAGCATGGGTGCCGAGGCCCACATCAACACCTGCTACAAACACTACTACTACTTCATCACAGAGTTCCATCTCATCGATAACTCCGAACTGGAGCCTCTGGTGAGTCAACAAATGTTTCAAAATTAACTTCATCGATGTCGGTGAGCCACCTCGAAGGAAATTGCTTATTTGTCTATGTGTTTGTAAGGCAAAATAAAGTTTTACACATGAAAAATGTTCTGCATTTTTCCGCCCAGACTAAATCATCACTCATCCTGCCTAAGCATGATTATATAACACATAAACTGTGTTCTCACCCACTGTAACAACTTTCCATCTGATTTTCACACAACTGGATTTCTCTTGATGTTTGTTTTTACAGGAACCTGCTAAGAGTCTTACTGAATTTAGTTTGGCTCGAACGATCCAGACTTGTTAAAGAATTAGTTGACTTTATTATAAAGGAAAAGTATATTTTGCAATAAAAATAGAATTATACTTAATATTTAATAATAGTAATATTTATTATTTAGTACCGGTAGTTAAGACCAGTTCTAGTGTGGTTGAATGTTTTCCTGCCGTATGAAACAGGGATAAGACATTTATGTCAACACAATGAATCTGGAGGTTTATTGTTCCAAATTCACTTCTCCAGTTGACATTTTTTTTACAAGAATAAAAACACTTTTTGCACCGAAATATGTTTTATTTTGAACGTATCATTATTGTTCTTGTACAATAGACACACATTAGATTTGTTAACTTGTTCTTTGTTTGCTTTTCCTGCAGAAAGAGATGACGGAGAGGATTTGTACTTGACCAGAACCACATGGACAAAGACGTTTACATTTTGACGTTATCTGAGCCCTCCTCCTGAGAAAACACCCGCTTCTGAACGTTCCAGACAAAGAACAATTTTATATCATTTAGTATGTTTTTTTTCTGAAGCATATTGTGGACAGTCAATTATTTAGCACATTCCTTCAAATGGAGGTGCGGTATATGAACAGAAACCTTTAGCTACACTCATTATGGTGCTGTGACATCTTTATACGTGTGTGTTAGTTTCTAACACGAGACTACAATTTCCATGTTTCATTCTTGTCTTTATGTTGATGTTAATTTGTGATATGATATATGTCGGATGATATTGTGGTCACTGACCTTTTATTAAAATAAGATAAATTGTTTTTCTGAGCTCTAAAATCCCTGAAACCAAACAAACCATCACTAATGTCTATTTTTTTTAAAGTTTGTAATTTATTTTATGGGACATCTGGTACTCTCACAACCACTAGTACTAGTTAAGTTAAGCTATTTCAATGATAAGTGTTTATGTCTAGTAACACATATAAATATCAGCCAAGATATTTTGAAATAAAAATGAATTGAATGCCTTACCAGAATAAAGGAAATTTTTGACAAATAACATCATTGTAGATATTTGAAATGTGAATTGCACTTGATATAAATTTTATTTTAGACATCCTCAGTGTTGATTTCAGAAAGAAATAATGTAGAAATTTGAAGCAGAAAGTCACTTGACTTGGAAGTGTAATGTCTTTTTTTTTTCCACAGAAAAATATCACGTGATATATCTGAAATGTGGATTAGACATTGGAAAAAGCTCCTTTGGAAACCTTAGATGTTCTTTTTTTTTTTTACTGGGAATAATTAAATTATAGATGTCTGACAGTTTGGAATGTTTAAACAGCCACCTGAAAATTTTCAGGATTTTAAAATAAATTAAACTTAGTGTACGGTTTCAGTGAAGTTCTTAACATGTACTTTTCTATTAAGAATTTATTCTTCAACATTTTTCAGTCAGGTCATCTGGACAGTATCTTTTTTTTTTTGTGCTGAAACGTTTCGCCTTCGGTCCGGAAGGCTTCATCAGTCAAGGAAACACACAACCTGACTGAAAAATGTTAGTTTGTATATCTATGGGAAGCCCTTTTAACATAAAATCGAGTAGTCTGACTATCTGTAGTTACATTCTAGATATCTTAAATTGAGTTTTGACTAGGCACAATTACATTTTGACTAGTCAGAATAACAATTCAAGATATCTTGAATTGAAGCCTCCATACAACTCAATGGTAAATCTGACGTCATTATGACTAGTCAGAATGTAATTAGAGATATCTTAAATGAGTATTTTGACTAGTCAAAATGCAATTCAAGATATCTTAAATCACTAATATGTCTAGTCAAAACTCAGTTTCAGATATCTGGAATGTAAGCGTGGTGAATCCTATTTTATGTTAAAAGGGCTTGCCAAAGTAAACCTGGATTATTGAGCATGGACTTTGTTGTTTTCAACCAGTTTGACAAGACAGTCAACAAGGAAGAGGGCCGGCAATGGAGGAGGGGGCGTACCAAAGAGACCATCTTATCACAAGCAGAACTGGTTTGTTCCACTTTGGAGTAAGCTGTTGGGGGAAGAATCAGTTTTGTTGTGTGTTTCCTTGACTGATGAAGCGTTCCAGAGCGAAGGCGAAACGTTTCAGCACAAAAATAAAAAGAAACTGTCTAGATGACCTGACTGATAAATGTTGGATTATATACCTGGATTATTGAGCATGGATTTTGTTAATTTATTCTTCAATTTAATTCTAACTGTTGAGAATATCGCTTTAAATGTGATTGACATCGTGCAACAGGAATATATGCATATTTGGCCTGCCTTAAACAGTCACGCATAATCATTCTGCATTACGTGTAAGAGGTATTGTAGGCGTGTCAATGGGCAAGCCATTGACGTCATCCACATTTTGAACCAATAGCATGACCAGGAATGCTGAAAAACGCCCATTTGTCTTTTTTCCCGCCCTGCGCGTCACGCCCTTTCTGTGTCCGCCCGGCTGATGGACTGTTAGCAATGGGAACTTGCATCAGCCGGCAGAGGCTTTGACAAAAGGAATTTGTCCGGTGTGGAGCCCAGGTTAGAGCGATTATTTCCAATTATTGTTTTGTTTTAACTCTATTTCATCCGTGTTTATATGTAGAAGAGCATGTGGACAATGCTCCAGTTGATAAATCAAGTGGGCATGCTAGCTAGCTAGCCCGCGAAGGCTAAAAGACAATAACAACAGGATATTTAACAAAGATGCTAACGTTAGCGTTTTTACGCCTTTTTATAATAATATTGGCACGTTTAAGTAACAATGTTGTTATTGTTGTGTACCATGCTGTCAGAGCTAACCATATTATGTTTGTTATCAGCGCTTATCTGACCTGCTTTATCTGTCATTACAAACAGTAACAATAGGGTTAGTTCTGATTACTTTCTGAGGCTGATCAGTCATTCACTGACATTAAGATTGAATTAAAATGATACGAAAGAATTTAGGAATGAGGGAAACTCCATTACTATGGTCATGTATGTGGGTGATTGATGATCTTATTTTTACCATAGCTCAAATTCTCTGAGAGTCACTGACTTGTTCTTACACGTAAGAATATCTGAAGTGTGTTCCTCACTGGGTATTTCTGTGATGTCTCCTCAGTTGGCAGACATGGTGAGGGACCGCATGATGACGGAGATGCAGACCATCCAGCACACTCTCCAGGTGAGCTGGGCCCTGTTACTGTGTCTGATTTCACTTCCTGAAACACGTTAGAGGATGTGTAGCTGTCACGTCCATGCACTGTTATCTGATCAGAAGTCTGGAAGTTTAACTATTCTCAATGAGTCATGCACTATCAGTAGTTGTGTGAATGTTTCCGGTAATGTCCGGGGCAAGATAAGGCTTGTTTTGATGTTTCCCTTTAGGCTACTGTCATGGCAGGCTATCACATGGAAGATTAACAACTAGTCCAGATGACATGATTCAACCTTTTTTGTTGTTATATACCTGGAT